TTGAGAACCACTCCTCTGGGACAGAGTAGTGATGCTTGTATTGTTACCTCTATGCATCCGAAGAAGTGAGGTTTTTACTCACGAAAGCTTATGCCCAAATAAATCTGTTCCCCTTTAAAGTGCCACCAGACTCCTTGTTGTTTTCATTTTGGCAGGGGATCAATGTTTGAGCACACACCAAACTGGCGTTAGCTGGATTTGGCATCTGTATTTATTACAAAGCGTGTAACCTGAAATGGATTTATTTCAATTAAAAAAAATCCCTCGGGAAAGCCCGTGCTAGGTTAATAGCGTGCAGGGGCGGAGAAGTGAAATGCAAGACTGTGCAAATGAAAAAAAAAAAAAGTATAACTTGTGACTGCAGTCATAACAAGCTACACTTCCATACACCCACATGCTGGTTTAGTTACAGCAATCCTGGACACTAAAGCAGAATACTAGTGATTGCCAAGGAGGAGGAATTGCACTTGGTGTGAGGACCACAACTTTTAAAGTCCCTGAGTGTTGTGCTGTAAACTTCTCAGCCACAGTGTGGGATTAATATACTCTGCTTCAGTAGACACAATGCTGTTTGTAAAGTCTTTACAGCCATGGTATGCACGGGTGCTTCTTACAGGCTCAAAGACATTAAACTGCAAGGCGTCGGGGATGAATGATTCACTAACTGCTTTCCCTGTGTGTGCTAGCTTTCTGCACAGGCTCATGATGGGGACAGGTTTTTTTTGCCAGCAGTCCAGTGTGATGGCAGAGTTGCACAGTAGCATTGTGTTGTCCAAATTTAGGCTAGGCCAAAGGCAGATGGGTTAGGACTATCCCATCCATCCGCAAGCCAAAGCAGGACAGCTGGTCCCCTGATTTTGTGTGTGCATGCGGAATCCAATTAGCACTTGCAAATCAGAACTGGGGGGCGTGGGGCATTTCTCTCCTCCCCAGCTGAGGCCGGTGATGGTGCTGGCTTCTGAGCCAGACGGTGAACCCCTTCCTTCCATTGGTGAGCAGTTATTCACCTGCGGAGAGTATGGAGTTTACTGCCTGGCCCTCAGGGAATATCTGGCAGAGGGAGGGTGATAAGGGGCTGTATGCAAATTACTCTCCTCCTTCCCTACAGCCAACTTCCCTAGGGTGAGATAGCACATTACCTCCCTCCATGCACTCCCCACCCTCGTGTCCCCCCAAATCTCCCCCCCTTTACTACTGGCCTTGGCCCACTTGCTGAATTCAGAAGCGTCTCTGCTGTTTACCTGTATGTTGACCCAAAGCTCCTGAAGACATTGCTGCAAAGGATCAGAAGACGGTGTGAGTCACAGAAAGGCACAACGGGGTTACAAGGGCAGCCTGGGTTGGGGAGCCGGGGGCTACTTACGTGCTGTTGTAAGGGAGGGGCTTCTGTCCATATCTGTCCAGGCTGGGGTTCTGATTGAGGCAGTACTGGAAGGACAGTGCAGAGCGGGGAGGGTGGTCAGAGATGGCCACTCTAACCAAGTAGCCTACCCCCTCCATCTGCACTCCTTTGCTGCCACCTGTCCAGCCACTACAGCAGTGGTCCCCAAACTGTGGGGCGTGCCCCCCTAGAGGGGCACAGAGGAACATCTGAGGAGCAGGGCGGGGCCTAGGCCAGCCCCCACGGGAGGGTGGGGAGGGAGTATCACTCCGTGACTCCGCTCCCGGCCCGGGGTGGCATGGACATGTTCCATTACTGGGGGGGGGAAGGTTTGGGCACCACTACACTAGAGTCCAGCCTCTCCTGACCACTACGGGTGGATGTCAAGTTTCCTGTTGGTTTCCATAGCAGCCCCCTGGATGACTGGCTGTGTGCCCAGTGTAGAATCTAGGCCCCTAGCCTGATTCTCCTCTCCCACCTGTTTTACCCCAGTGTCATTCTATTGATTTCAATCCAGTCACATCTGATTTATAGTGGCAGGTTGCATTAGTCTCAAGAGAAGGAACCGAAATTGTATTTCCCAAGAATAAAGGTACCTTGAAACCTTTTCTGTGACTGGGGAAGACCTCCTTCCACAACACGGTGAGGGCTGGAAGCTAATAAGTGCTAGAATAGGTCACACCTTGGATGGGACATAATCATGGCAAATCCAGCTGCTGTAGGCAGTAGTGCACATGTTTCAATAGGTGGTGCTCTTGTCTCAGTCAGGCCTGAGCCAATCATAGGGTTAGAAGGGACTGCAAGGTCTGTCTGCCTCTGGTGCCCAGGGTCACAGTTGCTCAAATGAGATGTAAAATCTAACGTCTTGTGGTCATTGGTGAGCCCATGGGGCCTCCCCATCTTGAAACAAGAGCAAAAAACCTTGTGGCAGGTGCAGAAGGGTTGCCGTGTTCCACCCCAGAGGTGGCTGCATTTTAGTGGCGAGGGAATGTGCAGTACAACTTGTAGAGCACTCTAGAAGCTTTCAGGCGAGACGGTCCAGTCTGGGAGTGGTGGGGGTTTATTACGGTGAAGGAAATGTAGAACTTCTGAGCTGCTTCCTGTTGAGTTCCTGGGATTTAGGCAGCCCGGGGCTGTTACAGCTGCTGCTACTGGTGAGCCGGTGTTGGTACTATAAAGATACTCCTGCCAGTTGGCAGCTGCCTGCTCCTTTCCTTCTCCTGACCTCCCCTTCCCCACTCTAATTGCCAGGTAGCTTTTCCCTATATCTCTGGACCCAAATCTCCTAAGGGACCTGACTTGTATATATGCAGCCCCCCCGGTGCACACGCATTGGGGCGTGAGCCTACATGTAACTGTGCCCATGGAGAGAGTAAAGCTGGAGCAGTGGATCCTAGGGCGACCTATGGGGTGGGGAATGGTGAAATGGAATTCTCTGCCGTGGTAAAACCCAGGTGGGATATGAACTCGAGTCCTAGTTGGTAAAAGAGAAATCGGAGAACCCTTGTGGGGGGTCTAGGAGTCTGGTAGGCTATGAGGGAAAAGCCCTTTCCTCCTCCCATGTTTATGAAGCTACGCTAAGAGCCTTCCCCAACATCAGCCAACCAGCTCCGGAAGTGAATTAGACTCAGACTTTAAGGCCAGAAGGGACCAGCGTGATCATCTAGTCTGGCCTCCTGCCCATGACAGTGTTCCACTAACCCAGTGGGTCTCAACTTCTCCATACTGGCAACTCCTAGAATTCCCCTCCCCTCCAGCTGGGACCTCCATCCGAGTGAGCAATACGGAGAGGACGGGGTGGCCGTGGCTGATAGCCCATGTGCTGATGCAAAATGCCTGTCTTGAGGAGGTTAAACATAAATTCCACTTTCCCCCAAGCAACCTGTGATCCCCAGGGCTCCCAGCAGGAGGCAGCAGCACGACGATTCAGTAGCAGGGAGAACTCCTTACCCTCCACGTCTGAGACACGTCTGGCTTTAAGTACCTAACCGCATAACAGCTGAACCCGAGCACTGGGGGGAGAGAGAACGGTGCACATGTTATTATCGCTAGTGACCCCAGCCCTGTCACATGCCAACATTTTAATTATGGCTTTAATTGATAGCCCCACACCATACCCAGGCAGCCCAGCATCCTGGGAGAACACAGCCTGGCAACCCATGGGAATGCGACAAGAGTGACTTCCTCATTGTGAATATCCCACCTGCGCTCTAGACTCCTGTCCTCCAAGGTGGGCAGCAAGAGTCTAACATATTTCTGCCCCCCTCCTCCCGTGTGTGCTGAGGGAGGAGGGAGAAAGGTGGAGGGAGCTCCAGTCAGCATGTCCGAACTGATGGTCTTTGCGCTGCCAAGAGAGCTGCTTCGCCCTGCTCGCCAGGGTCCGTGTAAAACGAAATAATAAAGCAACAGCCCCTCCTGTCCTTTCCCCTTCACTGCCCCAGCCAGCCCGGTACCGATGTGGTGCCCATCACCAGAGCATCTGGGTGCCCTTGTCTAATATATTTAGATATTAATTTCATTTTATTTTATACTGCCTTCAAATCTGCCCTGGCCAGTTTGCTGCCAATTTCTGTACTACATTTGGGGCTTCTGCTGGGGGTGGTTTGGAGGAAGCACGTTCTGCCAAAGTGATCAGCAAACTGGTGTTGACTTGTCATCACTAAGGGTATGTCTACACTTACCCGCTGGTTCGGCGGCAAGCAATCGATCTTCTGGGATCGATTTATCGCATCTTGTCTGGACGCGATAAATCAAACCCAGAAGTGCTCGCCGTCGACTCCGGTAATCCTGCTCAGCGAGAGCAGTACGCGGAGTCGACGGGGGAGCCTGCCTGCCGCGAGTGGACCGCGGTAAGTTCAAACTAAGGTACGTCGACTTCAGCTACGTTATTCATGTAGCTGAAGTTGCGTACCTTAGTTCGAATTGGGGGGTTAGTGTAGACCAGGCCTAAGTTCCTGAGTTAACACCCTATGGAGACAAATGGGAGCTTTTGCACCTTTCTGAGCAAGCTCAGGCACTGCATTGGTTACATTCATTCCACACCCAGAAAGCTTTCTTTGCCACCACCAGGATTAGAGACTTAATATTTTTACTATGAAAGGTAAGAATCTAGAATACCACAGACCTGGCAACTAAAAATAAAACTCTGCATAATCACATTCTCTACGGGGCTCTGGGGATAAGCAAGTCATTCTGGAAAATACAGGTAGAGTGAATGGATTTCTGCATCCAACTCATCTATATCTCCAGCTGGTTCTGTAGCCCTGATCTGACAGCACGGCTATTCCAAAAAGAGAGGACAGTTTACTATGCATATGGGTTGGCTCTGACGCAGCATGTACACATGTGGAAATGCCACCCTTACAACCCCCTGGCAGAGCCAGAAGGCAGTGGCACATACAATACCTCGGCACTCCCATGGTGTCGTGTTGGTCAATATCACAGCTGTAATTTTATCAGTGAAGTCTTAGCCTGGCTTCACCTTGCTCATTGGAAGAGCCGCTAGTCATTTAAACCTCAATAGGGACCTCAAAAGGAGTAGGCAGCATCTGAGCTTGTCTCCCAAACAGGCAGGCGGGCGGGCGGGCCGTGGAGCTGCCTATCTAAGAGGTGAAATGACGCTGGCTTTTCCCTTCCTTCAAAGGGAGGCTTTGTCCCTACCATGTGCCTGGCTGTACCTTTCTTATTCACGCTGGGTAGCTTGAATTCTCCAGCAGAGGAGACGAAGCGTGACCAGTCATCCATAGCCCGCGTGTAGCTTGGCCATTCCTCGTGGTTAGTGCTGGGAGTGAGTGGAGCCATCTTCCCTGCTCGGTACCTTGCAGTGACCGACTGGCCCAGCTCGGTCATCCCCTGAGTAGCAAAGCCAAAGAGAGAGGTTACTCCAGGCTCCTAGCTGGGCACTCAGCAGGGAGGGGTGGGGTGCAGGGCAAGCAGCCATTTTGAACCCTTTGCATCCCACCCATGCAGTTGACCTGCAGGCCAATACAACAATAGAGGTTAGTTCCCTCCCCCTAATCCGCAGCCAGCAAGTAGAAAATCCAGAGCCATCTGGTATCCTTTTACAGTCAGACTCATAGGCGCTGACTGCATGGGTGCTCCGGGGCTGGAGCACCCATGGGGAAAAATTAGCAGGTGCTCCGCACCCACTAGCATCCAACTCCCCCTGCCTCTTTCCCGCCTCCTCCCTTGAGTGCGCCACGTTCCTGCTCCTCCCCCTCCCTCCCAGCCCTTCTGCCCGCTGCCAATCAGCTGTTTGGTGGCGCTCCGGGAGGGAGGGGGAGGAGCGGGGACACACGCGCTCAGGGGGAAGAGGCGGGGTGGGGACTTGGGGAAGGGGGTGGAATGGGGGCGGGGTGGAGGCGGAGCAGGGGTGGGAAGAGGCAGGGCAGGGGTGGGGACTTGGGGGAAGGGGTGGGGGGGGGGGGGGGGCCAGGGCCAGAGGGGGGTCGAGCACCCATCGGCGGGAGCAGACGTCGGCGCCTATAGTCAGACTGTTCCACATCCACCTGGCACAGGCCTGGCTCCAGAGTCTTGGCTAGTTGGTTTATTTTTATGCAGCAAATATGTGTAATGCTATAGACTTGGCAAAGCCTCGTCCACCTTCACTGATTAATGGGGGAAGAACAATCTTGCACTTAAGATCCTTAAAGGATTTCACTGGGAGTTGGGCAGTTAAACTCCTTTGGGGATTTGGGCCAAGGGAGAGTACAGGGAGCCAGCAGATCTGATAGTGACTCCGTGCTGAACCTACAGCTATGTCTCATTAACCTGGCTGGGCTTCAGTCCCACCATCTGGGGGACTGCTGTGTAGTCTATGGAGCTGCTAATAGATACCTGCCTTGTAGGGTTTATGCAGATCAGCTCATCCATGCCTTCAATGGGCTTTGAGAGCCTGGGATAGAAAGTGCTACAGAACTGTCGAGTAACCTCCATCTCCATGATAGCTCTGTGAGACAGGGCAAGTATTATCCCCATTTTACAAACAGGAACAATTGAGGAGCAGTGAAGTGACGTGACATGCTCAAAGCCAGTCAGGGTCAAAGCCAGGATTAAACATCGGGGGTTCCTGGCTCCTATGCTCGGCCCACTCCATCACACACGGGTCTTTACATAGAGAAAATGTTCATATCTGCATTGGTTACTAAAAGTACACAACATCGTGCCTTTGAATAGGCCAATAAATACGCAATGAGAAGCCCCTTTGTGCCAACGACTGTCAGCTGGGGTTTTGCAAAGCATGTGTTGGTCTAATAACTGGCATCATATTACCCGCCCTGAAAATGATCCCACTTTTGGGGCTAAACTGGGGTTTGAAGATCTGAAATGAGCGGCGGCGTTCTCTGTGAATTCACTCAGCGCAAACAGCTTTTTTATGGTGCAATCCAGGATCCTTACCTTCTTCCACCGCAAAACCACCCTTGCTTACCTCTCTACAGTTTTTTATGACTGGCTGCTCTCTGAGCTTACTTTGGCTTCTAAAATCCTCAGATAACAGTACCTGTAGAAACTGCCCTGCTGCCTTAATCTCTAGGCCCCACGGTTATGGCACATGGTAACAGAAAATGCAGAGGCAACGAAATTCACTAGTCAGAGGTGAGCTGAGAAGTGATTGCAAGCTACTTGCTCCTGTTCTGAAACAGGAAAGACTGAAGCTTAACAGAGCTTGGGGTAAAAGCCAGATGGATCCAACTCTGATGGGAAGTGGGGCGTAGGGGAATCCTGCTTAGAACTGAGTCCCTCTTTATCTCTGTTTGCTTTTCACAGGTAACTAGCTTCGGAGAAAGCTAAGCCTTGGGGGAGAGAGCCATGAAGCAAACCTGTGCTCAGGCTGCCCTCCAGTGCCTGAAGAGAGAACAAGACCCACACACCCGAGAAATCTGGGCCAAATCTATCATAAAGAAACAAGTATATTTACAATTTCAATTACACCTTTTCTTCTCCTGCCACTCCCAATCCCACTGTTCCTTCTCCCCCTCTCCTCCCTTAAATCCCTTCTTATCAACACAGTTCTTCCCCAAAGCCTTTCAGCAATGAGTCCTGCCCCACGTGGCAGCTGATGTCCTTATCACAAGGGGATATTCACCACCAGTTGTCCAAGAATGTGTCTACATTACAGCCCCGAGTCTCATTTATGCTAAGATGTTGTAAAGGGTTCTTAAACAAGCAGAAAAATCCTTTAAGTTGCTAGAGAGCTGAAAGTGGCCTTAGTACAAATGAGAATTAGGGCTTAGATATTTTTTCCCCTTAAAAATTCCCACTCCTGCCACCAGCAGTTCAGCCTCCTGTGGCGCAAGCCACATGGGCAGCCTAGTGGAGAACATCTGCTGTTTGAGGGTTTTTTATGTGTGATTTTTACTGATTGAAATCTCTGATTACATACATTTAACAGACCAGGCATGTCTGTCAAATGTTGCTATTCAAAAAAATTGGACAGATGTGCTGTTTTTTGGGCAAGTGCATGTACTTTGAGTATTGAATAAATGGTAACAAAATATCTGACTATTTATTTATCTTCTGTTTTGCTGGGTATGTGTCACAGGGCACTTTGCTCACTGCTGGGTGGCGCCTCCTTCTGGCAATGCTGAGGATTAGCTCCACCTGGTTCAGCACCCCCTGTCCCTTCTTCTACCTTGGCAGCTCTTCTTTTGCTCACAGAGTTGCAATGTGGCTTCGTGACTCAGCTCTCCTGCCAGGTCCCACTGTGATCCCCCTTCCGGGCGGGGGGGAGGTGTCTTTCAAAGTTTCTCTCCACAAGCAGCATCAGGCAGGCCTCACACCCGCTGCCCTGTGTCACTCCGGCAGTCTTCCTATTCACTGCCCCTAGCACTGCACTACCACTCTGCAGTGGAGGTAGGGGCCACCCTCTACTCTGGGTTCCAGCCCAGAGCCCTACAGCAAGTAGTTAAGGGCTATGGCTACACCTTCCTTAGCGCTCTTTTCCCTGGACTATGTCCTACCATGCATCCCCGATCTTTTCATTCTCCAGTGAAGTCTTCCTCATCAGACCCCCCCCCCTTAAGGCTGCTAGGTAACCTCTTTCTCAGGTGTTCCTGTTCCTCCTACCTACCTCATGGAGACAGACTTCAGTGCCTCCTCTCTGCAGCCTTCACGGTTACCAGACTCCTGGCTTTAGAGAAGCCTTGCTTGTCCCCTCACAGGTGAGCTTCCCTCTCATTAGCACTCTCCACACAGCCTAAATCTCCCCCCTTTGCAGCTTAATTGGCTGATTGGACCCACCTGGCCTAATGCAACTCTCTCAGGGCCAGTGTGGGGAGCTGAGAACAGGTCCGGGTCCATGGTCCACCACCCAGTGGCTGCAGTAGGAGAACTCAGGCCTTCCTGCTCTACTGGGTTCCAACTCAGGGCCCTGTAAAGCCCATCCAGCATCTTCCACCCTGGGGCATGTCAAGTCAGCTCCCTGGGTCACTTCCTAGCCCCCTCTTTCCTACAGCATGCTGTGGTTTGTCCCCACAAGTGCTATCTCACAGGCTGCCTACCCAGCTATGGCCCGCAAGGACTGCCGCTCACCGCCATTCCTTCTCCCAATCTGGCTACATCCTCCTGCAGCACTCTCAGAGCAACTCCTCCCTACCCCAGCTGAGCCCGCGGGCTCCCTTTTAAGCCCCGCCTCCAATTGACGCATGCTCTGCAAGGGCACAGAAGCGGGATCTCCCAAGCCCAGAACTGCTCTTTAACCCTTTGCTGTCCAGTGAGGGGTTTATACATCCTGTCACAGGAACACACCCCAGCACAGTATGTAATTGGTGCATTATTTTTTCCATAATAACCACCTCCCAAATTTTTTTTGAACTATTCTTCTAGAGTTGGACTATTTTTCTTTTTCAGTAGCCTCTGCTGGTGTTTTAACTACCTGTCATCTAACCCTGCCCAGATCTGGTTCAACATGGTGGTTAAGATGCCACAGGATGCAGGTGCCCTGTCTACACTCAGGCTCCCGCTGCTGGAACTGTGTTGATGGTAGCAACGGTGGGAAAATTGAATAGTCCAGTATAGACAAGGGCAACAGATGTCAGCCATAGGTCCCCTCCCCACATCTTCCTTCAACCAGGGCTGAAAACAAATGGACCAATTGGTTTGACACCCGTGCCAGAAGGGATGTTCTGCCCTGGTTGGAAGGAGGTGTTTGGCATGTTTCTGTAGTTGGTATTGAAACTGATTTGGCTCTGTCTACTAGCAGCCTTGTTCTTTTCAATCCCAGTTGGGGGACAAGCTGGGAACCAGTGGTGGAAACTGAATGCCAAATTCCAGAACATTATCCTAGTGTAGACATGAGCTGGTTTGTCTGTACCTGGTCTGGATTGTAAGTGCCTTGGAACAGGGACTGTAGCTCCTTGTTTGTTTGCACAGGGCAGAGCAAACGGCTGATGCTGGCTCATGTCTGAAGGTCCCTCAGTGCTTACGCAGAGGTGGATCTGGATGATATTCAGGCTTAAGCTTACAGGGCGGGGAAGGCACAAGTGGGTTACACGAAGGCCAGGACTTGGACCGAAAGTCAACAGATGTGTAAATGTCCCTCATAACGCCGCTTCCTTTGGCTGAAGTGACTCACCAGGGACGGGAGGCGCTTGTTGGGGACTCCCACCAGAGTGAAGGATGCGTTGGCAAAATCCTCTGCGGGAAACAGAAGGGAGAGAAATGAGACCCGCGGCCTTCTTGGTCGCTTCCAAAGGGTGGCGAGCGGGCTTGGCCTAGCCCACCTGTCTGGCCCAGGAGCGTGTCCACGACAAAGCTCTGGGCTTTGCAGCCTGTTTGAAAACTGCCTTTGAACTGGCTCCAGACACAGCTGGTCCAGCCAATGCAGGCACAGGGCCAAACTATTTTAGAACATTTTTTGTTCTAGGAGTGATCCTAGATCCCAAGGGCGACCCCTGGGGTCCTGCAATGGAACAGTCTGAATAGGGCTTTAGAAAATGGCTTTAAAACAGTTTGGCCTCACCTCTGCTGATTAAAACCACGCGGGGGCAGTGTTGTCTAGTGGGTACGACTCCAGGCTAGAAGTCAGGAGACCTGGGTTCCTGCCTGGCTTGGCCATTGACGTGTTGGGTGATCTTGGGCAAGTCACAGCCCCTTTCCTTGCCTCAGTTTCCCCTCCCACGCTGCATCTGTCTTTGTTTGAACCAGGGAGTGTGTCTCACTAGGTGTTTGCACAGAATCTAGCACAATTAGGCCCCGATGTTTGTTGGGGCCTCTAGACTCTTCTGAAAGACTCCAAATAAATAATAGTGTTAAAAACCAGCTTAGCAGGAACTGTGTTGAGACTTCAGCACAAACGGGGCCGCGGAGGCCCTCTGTATGCTCGGCTGCCTCGGAAGCCTGCCACCCCGGGTGCTCCTCCAGCGGTGGTAACAAGAGTGGGTATGTTAGTGTGGATGGGTGCGATGAAGTTGGCACCGCTTCTGAACTGGGGCTGATCTGATGAAGTTGGATCATGAAACTACAGAGTCAAGGAAAGCCTCTGGGCATGTGGGTCCACCCAGAGTTAGCAGAGTTGTGGCATGTTTCTGCCAAGCCAGGGACCCCGGTGAGTGATCAGCAGCTCTCGACAAGCTGGCGGAAGTAAAACAACCTGGACAATGGGTTTGTTCTAGACAGCAGGAGACACGTCTTCCTCTCGTCTGAAGGGAGGGGGAGCTTGAGAGACGTGGAAAATTACCAAACGGCAGAACAAGAGCCGCAGGTGACCCCAGCAAGAGTCTATAAAGGGACTCACTGGGGAAAACTGAACTGGGGGGAGAGAGCCATTTTGCACCAGATTAGGATGAGGGAGGCTGTTGCAAGCGGCAGGGCAGGCAAGGGGGCGGAGGACTGACCCTGCCTTGTGGAACATGGATGATTCCCCAAAGGGAGGGTGAGCAGGGAGGGACACACTGCCTTTCGCATGTTTGATCGTTTTCTATGATCTCCTGTGCTTTGTTTGGTACATAAAGGTGTTAGACTGGACCGTGTCTCCATATTGACTGCTTTGCAACTGCTGCATGCCCCAGGGAGAGTTAGACCGTAAGCAGGAGCTTCACAAATCGCGCTTTGGGGTGGAGTTCTGGACAAGGGGTGTGGTTAAGAACAGGGGGTCCGGAGGCTCAGCGCTGTTCCCAGAGGGGTGTGGACGGCAGGTTCCAGCACTCGGAGGGGGCTGCCTGAGAGAACGTTTGTGCCCTAAGTGTCTGCAAGGTGACTCCCAGATTGGGGCAGTGGCTGGACTTTGTTCAGTCTACAGGGGCTTGAACCCCCCCAGGGGATTCAGAGCATAGAAGGTTGGATCCCCCTCACAGCAGGCCTAGGGGGAGGCCAAGTGGGGGCGCTCGCTAGGATCTGTGACAACGGGGCACAGACAGCTGCCTAAGGTCTCAGCTCTGTGTCACTAGGCCTCAGGATTAGAGAGCGCGACACCCCTCCCCTGGACACACAGGCAGCCCCCCCTTTGGTACCACAAATGGAAGTGCACCCCAAGATGGCTGGTGTAGAGAGGAAGGCTTGGCCCCCTGAAATCGCACTATGCACCCTGTTCTTAGCCGCATTCTCAGCTCACATCTGCAACCACTAGGAGGCAATCTGACTGTCCTCACCTGACTGTGAGGATCACATGACAGTGACCTAAGATGATGTCATCTGTGACAAGATGAGCCTTTCTTGTTCCAAACACATTGCCACTATTCGAGAAGGACAATGCATTTCAGATGGCGTATCAGGCCTGGCCTGCACATAAAGTGGTGGCTTCTCCAGCTCTTGCTGTCTTCCAATCCGGACTGGACGCCTTTCTGGGAGCTGCTGTAGCCCCAAATGAGTCACTGGGCTCAACATGGGGGGGGGGGGGGGCCCCGGGGTGAGATTTTATGGCCTGTGACCTACAGATCAGACTAGATGGTCCCTTCTGGCTCTAACCTCTATGAATCTATGAGAATCTCTTTGGGGCCATGTGACGGGGTGATCTAGGTGTTTGCTGTGCCCTGCCAGAGGCGCTGCCAGCTTGGGGCATGGCCCTCCATGCAGAGAAGAGCAGCAAGTTCAGACCTCCAGGGTTGCCTGGAGTGGCCTCCCATGATCAGCTGCCGTCCGAACCAGCCAGCCTTGGATCTGCAGTAGCTAGAAGGGCCGGCAGGAGGCGGCGACCAGTCAGGACCCAGCAGGCCCGATCAAAAGGCTGTCACTCATCAGGGTGAAGCCAGCGCAGGGAAAGAAAGCTCTTCTGGCCCTAACCCATATAGCATGGGCAGGGCCTAACCGTGATGACACTGGCCTCGGGTCTCTGTGCAGGACGAGTGTGCACGGTATGGAATTTAGCACCCTGGGGGCTAGTTTGAAAGCAGCGTTAATTTGGTTTCTGTAAATTAAAACCCGAGGTAAGCCTGCCCTGTGGGCAGGGGTTGTCTTTTTTGGGGGCGCTAGCTTTAATGGGCTTGTGTACATGGGGAAAGTCACTAGCACAGCTATCCCAAGTATAATGATAGCACTATAGTTAGAGGAGTATCACTCCCTGTGGAGACACTCTTAGGGAATGTCTTCGCTGCACTTGGCTCTTCACTGGGTGTTGCCCCAGCCTCCTCTCACACAAAACCTCCTCACGCAATTCCAGTGGCTCTTTCCACCCAGGCTAGCTGCCCCAGCCTGGGCTATAGATTAAAACCTGGCTGCCACTTTCACTTGGTCTGGTAATGCCCACTTTGCAGCGAGGATGCAGGCTAAACCTCTCTAGTGCCGAGCATTGTCCAGTGCCCACAATCCCCTCCTGTGCTCAGTAAGACAGACAAGTTGTCTGGCTGGGATGATTTAGTTGGGGTTGATCCTGCTTTGAGCAGGGGGTTGGACTAGATGACCTCCTGAGGTCTCTTCCAACCTGGAAAGACTCACAGAGCGGTTCAGCGCTCTGCAGCACAGACTCATGGGATGGGATGTGAGGACGCAGTAAGGCTTTGTAATGTGACTGTTCATACCCAGACTAGACTAACCCAGGTGCTGATTATCTGAGTGAAGCCTAGGGTGACCAGATGTCCCGATTTTATAGGGACAGTCCCAATTTTTGGATCTTTTTCTCATATAGGTTCCTATTACCGCCCACCCCCTGTCCTGATTTTTCACACTTGTCTGGTCACCCTAGTGAAGCCGCATCCTTATTCCAGAAGGTGTCTTTTTCCAGTTTAGCTTAACCCCTTTATAGTGCTTTGTATAAATATACTGGTAAATTTCCCCATGTAAACAAGCCCTAAATCAGTTTTTAAACTGATTTTGGTTCAGCTGATTCAAATCAACTTCTGTATATAGACAAGGTAAAGGAAATATGCTACCCCAATCCTTCAGGCAGGAAAACAAAGGCACTGTCTATGAGGCGGTGGCATTTTAAATGCTAACAGTTCTTATTCAAAGGGGAACGTTTGCTCACAGTCACAGCGGGAACAGTTGTCTTGCCAGGAAGCCAAACAACACCTTTAGGAGGACATTGTTAACTGTGTATTCCCCAAGCCCCTAGAGAGCATGAAAAGAACTCTTTGATATGCTAACTACCCTGCAGCTGCTAATTGGGGAGGAACTGCTCTCAGTTTGGGGGAGCGGGGATCACAAATTTAAGGAACAATGTCTCAGTGCTAATTGAGCAGGGAGGCTGGGTTGGAGGATTGACATTGCAAGGAGGGATTTTGACACCCTAAGACAAAGGAGCTGGAATCTATTAAATAGAGAGGATATAAGCCTTAGCCAAGGGGAGACATGCATTGGAACTGACTGAACCCAGCCTGCTGCTGGCAAGAGCAATCTAGGCCATTGCTGAGATGAAAGGAACTGATCAATAGACACTAACTACGGGATTTGGCCTGGCTAGGTAGACTTTGTGACGTCTAGACAGTCATGTCTTATTCTGCTTAACTTTTACTTGCTTTGATTTTTCCCCCCTCCATTTTTCTAAGACAAACACATCTGGTTTTATCGTCGCTAATCTGAACGGCAGATAGTGAATGGGGGCTGTTCCTGTAGGAAGGAATCCAGGCCTGGCCTCTCAGGAGTGGCCATGGGGTCTCATCTTCCAAAAAGAACTGAAAAGCTGCTGGCTGTGGGTTCAGGGATAAGCCTAGAGACCACGAGGTGTGCCCAGCTCTGCAAACCTCAGGCGAGCCCATAGAATCGTAGGACTGGAAGGGACCTCGAGAGGTCGTCTAGTCCAATCCCCTGCACTCATGGCACGACTAAGGATTATCTAGCCCATCTTTCTATAGAGCCAGGGCAAAGATTACAGAAGAACCCCTGGGCTATGCCACGCTTGCAAGAGCATGCATACAAGTGAGAAGTTACCCTGGGATGGGAGGGCTTTATTATTGAAACCAGCCTAATCTTAATTTGAATACAGGTTGGTAGAATTGTCTGTCTGTGCACCAGTAGCGCACTTCATACAAGCATCAGTAAAGTAGTCAAGGGCAGGCTGCGTATTTAGCTGAGTCCCTCGGGTTATGCCGGACTCACCTGGTGCCCAGACACTGCACGACATTACAGAAGAAAGTCACCTTAGTGCCTCACCGCAGTTTCCGTGTGACCTAGGCTATGAGACTGCTCTGGGTTACCAATGGCTGCAGGTAGACGGAGACCTTGTGGCCTGACTTCCAGAAGTGCTGAGCAACCACAGCTCACATTAACTTCCCTAGGAGTTGTAGGGGCTCAGCACCTGTGAAAACCAGGCTGCTGTTCTATCAGGGGCAGGGATAGCTCAGTGGTTTGAGCATTGGCCTGCTAAACCCAGGGTTGTGAGTTCAATCCTTGAGGGGGCCATTTAGGGATCTGGGGCAAAATCCATACTTGGTCCTGCTTTGCACAGGGGGTTGGACTAGATGCTCTCCTGAGGTCCCTTCCAACCCTAATATTCTAAGGATAACATCAGAGTGTGAGAAATAGTGGTGTTATCTGCCTAGCACTTTATATAGTGCTTCTCTGCCCAGGACCTCAAAGGGGGTGAGGACGTTTTCTCCATTTTACAGATGTGCCAACTGAAGTGACTCGTTGGCAGCGCTACCAATAAAACCCATTCTCCTGAGTCCCCATCCAGTGCACTATCCCCAGGCCCATATTGCCTCCCAACAGAGTATATCGAAGCCCAGTGGCAGCATTACCTTTGGTGCACGTGGTGGTTGTCCTGGAATGTTCATCTGGGAGTTTGTTCCCTGCTGAGTCCATGTCCATTTGCCGTAAGGTTGGCAGGTCTGGGTGGAAAAGCCTGTCCTTTACTCCAGCCAGCATGGCTTTCCTAGGGTCCAGGGGCAGTAGCACCGCTGGGGCCGTGTAGACACGATGGCCATCTTCAGGCCATGGTACCAAATCAATTACTTGGGCCATTCCTGTAAACTAGCAAAGCCAAAGAGAGAGCAAAATGAAACAGACAAGTGCAAAAACATGGCACTTATTTGCTAACAGCTCTATATCCATCCTGACCGACAGACCGTGTGTCCTGATAATGTGTTGTGTACAGGATGTCCACTTTATCCCCTAGAGAGGAGGCATGGTTTGTTTCCCTGTTTTGTTGCTGGTATGATAGCAAAGGGAACAACACACAATCCTGTCAAATGGAGATGGCCCAATGAATGTTTGCTAGGTGTTCCATGAGCCCCTAAATAAATCCCTTCAAAAGACACATGGTCTTGGGCTTGCTGCTGGCATACCAGGCAGGTGATGAAACATTCCACTCTCTGAGCTCAGCTACCCCTGTACAGTCCTGGTGAAGGCACAGGGACGAGTGTACGTGCAATCTCAGGACAACAGTGGCCTTATCACTCGGGATCAAATTCTCAGAAGCGGCTCCTACTTTGAGGTGCTTTTTCAGTGCCCATCTTCAGACAGAGACACCTTAACACCTGCCTTTCGCCCACGCTTCCCTCCTGACTACGTCCTCCGTGCCCTATGCCCACTCTTCACTTTGTGCCTGCTTATGCTGCCCTGGATGCTGGGATCAGCTTCCTAGCTAATGTGAGCCCAGCTCCAGCTGCACTGTCCAGGAGCCACCCTGGCTTTGTTCTGTTTGCATTGGTCTGTACTGGAGCCGCTCGGGACTTTTTAGGGCCTGATCCGACTCTCGCTGAAGTCAGTTGAAAGCTGCTCCCTGCAAAAGCAGTGGAATCGGATAAACGCTGGAGGGCAGAGATTTCAGTCTCGTATGGCACCTGACCTGGTCAGCTGTAAGGAGCCGTGGCCCTTACAGCACTTTAGAAATAACAATGTGCCCAGGATCTGCTGAGGGTACGTGACTGCAAATGAGGCAAAAAGGGGGAATGTAGATCACGTCCCTGAGTTTCCGAAGCAGGAGGGGGAGAAGAGACAGAGAACAATGGCTGCATGGAAGCCTGTTTTAATCTGCAAAGCGGGGGAAGAACTTGGTTAAAGTCAATGGAAAACCTATTACTCTGAAATCAGTAAAATCAATGGTGAAAATCGCCTAGAAAAACATGGACACAATTAAGCCATTAAATGTACTATTTGGTTCAGTCTCTCTTGTGAGCTGATCTCACTCTCAAACGACTCAATCACCCACCTACCAGGGGTCCACCGGAATCAACACTCTGGTTTGGATCCCCCCCAAACGTTGGGAAAGTTCATATTTACCTTTGAACCACCTCCCAGCGGACCCCTCGCTCCAAAGAGGGCTGAACTCAAATCCTGGCTTCTAACCCCTCTGAACTTGGGGAAGGGAAGCTCTGAAATTTGCATCTTGCTGCATTCAGGAAACACTTGGCAGGGAGTTCATGGCGGCTGTGTGATGAACGTTTGACTCCCAGGAGCAGGGCCGGCTCCCGGCACCAGCCGAGCAAGCTGGTGCTTGGGGTGGCAGATTGAACAAGGCAGCATTCCGCCCAATCCTAGGGCGGTACGGCCGCTATTTTTTTGGTTGTTGTTCCGCTCCGGCCGCCCTGTAGGGGGCGGCGGCGCGGAGGATGGGAGCACCCTGCAGCAAACCCGGCAGGGCAGTCCTCGTCCTTCCCTCCCCGCTGACTGGAGTGGAGTCCTCCCAGCAGGCGGCGCGGCGCGGCGCGAGGGGCCGCATGGCAGCGCCCCGCTGTAGCCCTGGCCGCCCCCCTTCTCTCTCTCTCCCGCCCGCTCCCTCCGCCTCCTGCCCGCTAGCCGGTCCGCGTCAAAGGTTTTTT